CTAAGAGCAATTGGTAGAGCGTCCCAGATTTTTAAGCCATATTGGGAGTGTCCCTAACAGGGTCGTGGACCAACTATTGATCCTCTGCCTAATCACACGAGTCAAGGTGGGAAAACGGTTGTGGGTAACGATCAGCCAAGGTTTCAGGTGAGCCAATTGTGAGACCTTGCCCCACTCATGTGACTAACCCTAAGTCACATGATAGGCTTGTGTGATTAGGCAGAGGATCAATCGCGAGGTGGTTTCTGGTGCACCACCATGTACCTATTTGTGACCAGTTTCACCTTGTCAACTAGTCCCTAGGCCTCTGTGCCTGAGGCCTTACAGAACGAACACACGAAGCTAATGTTAGCAAATTTTAGCATGTTGCTCAGACTGAAGGTGATATGATTAAACATTAAAAAAATTTTTTTTCAATGTTTCTTCCGTAAAACTTGTGTGTAATCTGTCTGTGTGCAATCTTTTCTGCGGTGGCCCTGAAAGGCCAAACGGACTGCAACTTAAGAAAACACCAGCAATAAGAAAAATGCTGCAAAAGCACACAAAACACAATGGAAATAGGAAAAACGACAACGGAAATAGGAAAAATTCAAAACAGAAATAGGAAAAACGAAAAACGAAATAGGAAAAAACACAAGGGAAGTGTTTCTGGGGAGACAATAACCCGACGGACCAGTTGCAGGAACCCAAAACATGGTAGGTGTGTTTTATCATGATTCATATAATACTGATGATGAATTTTTAGGCTAATAGTTAGGCTAACACCATTGGCGTAACTTTGTGCTAACATTGGGGGGGTGATTAAACATGCAACTATTTTGCTGGTAATACCTGAAATTAGTAAAGAAAATCAACAGCCTATTTATGCAAGATAACTCATAATTTTATTGGGGGGGGTTATATTGGTTTGGTCTGATTATTGGGGGGTTCATAACCCCCCTAACCCCCCTGGACATTACGCCCCTGGCTAACACACTTACCTCTCATCTTTTCGTTCCTCACAGATCCGATAGATCCTACCCTTCTTTTAAGTGTCTCCCAGCGCAATTCTTAGCATATTTTGGTTCCTGCAACTGGTTGTCGGGTTATTGTCTCGCCAGAGATTTTTTGGTTTTTGTTTTTCCTATTTCTGTTGTGTTCTGTGTGCTTTTGCAGCGTTTTTCTTATTGCTGGTGTTTTCTTAAGTTGCAGTCCGTTTGGCCTCTCAGGGCCACCGTACTTCTCTCTAACAGAGAATTTTTACTGACCATCGTATAGCTATCTAATTGGGCCAACTTCAGTAGATATTAGCAAAGTAACAGAGACTGTTGTGACTGAACCAAAAGGTTATATGAACATTTTCGAAATAACCAAAAGTGTCCCAGCAGATGTACTTAATACCAAAATCTTGAGTTCACTTTTAATTGGTTCCTAAATTAATACACCAGCAGCTACAGCTGTTACTGTTAAAAGCTTTGGACGGATTTTATACGCTAACTCGTCGACTGAATATGCCGTGTGTTTATTTCCCAGATTTTGATTCAAGGTACAGTTGGAGATGATCTTACTGGAGACATTGCTATTGATGACCTTTCCTTCCTCAACTGTGAGCCTTATGAAGGTAAATGATTACAACACAAAACTGTACAGTGAAATTCTGTTTCCATTGTTCGTTATTTTCTACTGTCTCTTGCTCTAGGAGAGCTCCCCACACTGAATAATACAACTCCAGCAGTGACGACTCCAGCCCCCACAGTTGAACCCAATATGTGCCATTATGGAGAGTTTCCTTGTGGGACATATGGGGAGTGCATTCCCTTCAGTAAAGTGTGCGACTTTAGATATGATTGCTCTGATGGATCAGACGAAATAAGTTGTGGTAAAACATTTAAAAGGCTTTAACTATTGCATTATCAGTCTTCTTAAATGTTTTTGAGACATTTTTTATTTTTATGTTCCCTCTTTTCCAGTGAAGGAAAGCTGTGATTTTGAAGGAGGTGACACTTGTGGGTGGAAGATTGTCAAACCCTCTTTCATACTAAATCACTCGTTTCGCTGGTCATGTGACCAAGGAGAGAGTAATCATTTTGGAGAGGAGTACCACCGTCCTACTAATGACCACACCCTGTAAGCACCTACCTAAGAGTTTTTGGATTTTTTTCAGTATTATTGTTCATTTTGAAACCTTTATAATACCTTTCAGCATTGATACTTCCTTCCAAAACGTGCAAGCTGCCCATACCATGTGCACTTAGGCACCTCCATACCATCAGAGATGCTGGCTTTTGAACTGAACGCTGATAGCATATTGGAAGGACTTCCTTCTCCGCAGCATCCGGGATTACCAACAAGATTGTCTAATCTGGATATAGAATACTTTCCCACTGTGAGACAGTCCATTTCAAATGAGTCTTGGCCCACAGGACACGACGGCGCTTCTGGAGCATGTTCAAATATGGCTTTCTTTTTGCAGCTTCAGTTTGCTTCTTAACCGTCAGTGGTTTCTGGAAGTGTTCCTGGGCCCATTTAGTAATGTCAGTGACACAATCATGCCGATGAGTGTTGCAGTCTTGTCTGAGGGACGGAGCACCATCCAATAAAGGTCTTCAGCCTTGTCCCTTACACACAGAGACATTTCCAGTTTCTCTGAATCGTTTGATGATGTTATGCACTGTAGACGATGACAGTTGCAAAGGCTCTGCAATTTGACGTTTAGGAACATTGTTTTTGAAGTCATCTTCTTACACACTCTTTCAGAGATTGGAGAGCCTCTGCCCATCTTTACTTCTACCAATTAAATTAATTAATTGCTAGATGTTCTCCCAGCTGAGTGTTTTTGAACTTTCTTACTTCTTCAGCAATTTATTCCCTCTGGGAAAATGTAACAATCTACAAAAAATACAGACAGCTGCCAGTGGTACCCCTCAGCCTCCTGGTAGATACAGCTATGGTATCAATTGAAAAATCCTACATGACTTCCTTCTCGAGTTATCGCATTCACCAGATTCTCGTCCTCGAGATTTTTAGTAGAAACCCCAACAGTATCAATTTGAAAGTCCTACATCGCCTCTTTCTTGCATTCCTATTTGTAAGGGTGTTCACCTTTCCCGCCTGCCTGGCAGGGCAATAACAATATCCCATCAGCCGTTTAGGCCTGAAGGGTAAAAAATCATAAACGAATATTTCCCAAAAGAAATGCCAAGAAATCACAAATGGGTTGTTTCCTTTAAGACAAATGTTTTACTGAAAAAAAGTTTGAATTATACTACACTAAATAAAAATACAGCTGTCAGTTCCAATGCAGGGCCCTTTATCAGTATATCCAAGGCACTCAGGCTAAAAACATTACTAAAGCTGATTTAACTCCTCATTTCCGTCTCAGATCCGCAGCTGAATTTGAGATCTTATTCTGTATTCCTGATATTCCTCTGATAGCAACAGCTCCAAGGGGTGGTATATGTATGCAGACAGTTCAAACGGTGGATACGGTCAGACCACTGACCTCCAGACTCCTGTCATCTCCTCCACTGGGCCGCAGTGCACCCTGGTCTTCTGGTACCACATGAGGGGCTTCACTGTGGGAACACTGAAGGTAAAGAGAGCAGACAGATCATTTCTGTGTATGGGGTCTCATCAGAATTGAGTCACGGAAATATGTTGCTTTTCTGATGTCTGCAGGTGCTGCTGAAGCAAACAAACAGCACTCATGAGGTTTGGACTGAGACTGGTAACCAAGGCAACAAATGGAGACGAGGAGAAGTGTTTTTGGGGTTATTGAGTAATGTCCAGGTCTGTTACATAATTTTTCCCTAAGAAAACTAGTGAGATATCTAAATCAGTTTAATGCAATGAAATGGTTCATATCAACTTTTATATAAAAATAATATAAAATAGTCATTTTTAAACAATTTAGACATTTTATACAGTGGTATTTTTATAATGATATACAGTAAAAGTATAAAATGACAGAACAACAGCAGCAAAAGTGAAAGGGAAGGTTTACAAGATAGTATTTACTCCTGCTATGATGTGTGGATTGGAGAGAGTGATACTGACAAAACCAACAAATCTGAGCTGGAGGTGGAGTTGAAGATGCTCAGATTTTCATCAGCAGCATCAAAAGGGCAGCTCGGGTTTAGTGGTTTGGAGACAAAGTTAGAGAGGCAGGGCAGAGATGTTTGGACATGTGCAGTAGAGTAGTGGATGTACTGGACAAAGGATATAGACGATGGAGCTGCCAAGCAGGAGGAAAAGAGGAAGACCACAGAAAAGATTCATGGATGTAGTAAAGAAGGATGTGAAAAGAGTTGGTGCCACAGAAGAGGAGGCTAGAGTGAGATGAAGGCAGATGATTTGCTGTGGTTTCACCCTTTTATTGTTTTTAATAAGTAAAATTCTGGACAATATAATTTGGCTTTTTTTCTGACAAAAATTAATTCAAAATCATGTCAAAGTGAAAACAGAGTTTTAATAAATAATGTCAATTATTTAAATTCCATTTAATTCTTCACAGCCACTTGACCTAAGACAATCTTTAGAGAAGTGCCTGTCCTTTCAAAACAAGAGATAATCAATGTCTTCATCTGAGGGGCAAAACTGCCACACCCAGATAAAAGTACAGTGCCTGCCCCGGTGGCTTGATTGCATCGGAGAAGTCATCCCACTGATGCACATTAACCTTTGTCAGAACAGAGAGTCAGATCAGAGCTGATGGTACAATCAGCAGCTGAAAGGCCTTTTCACACCAAACCTTCAGAGCCCTTTTTGAGACTACAAGTGCCCTTTTCCTTTCCCCTCCAAGCACTTCATCAGCTGACTGCCACTAGACGCAGAATAACAAGACTCATTAGGACAGGGGCTATCGGCTCTTCTTCTGTTTCCGTGGCTTGCCTGATAACATTAAGCATTGACCTTGCTCTCCAAAAATAGTGAGGACTCAGAGTTGATCCCGGGTCTGTTGTTCTTTTTCAGGTGGTATTCTCTGCTAAACGAGGGATCAGCTACATGGGTGACTTGGTAATAGATGACGTCAGCTTCATGGATTGCTCCCCTCCTCTTCCTTCAGACCAGCCTTGCACACCTGAGCAGTACACCTGTGCAAATGGCCACTGCATCCCTCAGGACAACCTGTGTGACTTCATCAACCACTGCAGGGACAGCTCAGACGAGAACCCCTACATCTGCCGTGAGGCCTCTTCTAATGTTTGACTGATGACTTTAAGTGGAAGATAAATTTTCTGATAAATGAACAGCCGTAATTGATTTCTTCTTTTATTGCCATCTTTCAGAGGGTTTTATTGAACGCTGCAGTTTTGAGTTTGACCTCTGTTCCTGGCGCCAGTGCCAAGAGGATGACTTTGATTGGAGGATCAGCAGCAGTCCAACCATTGGAACTAGGCCATCAACTGACCACACCCTGAGAAACTCCTCGGGACACTACCTCTACTTGGAAAGTTCATTTCCTCAGGAAGATGGCAGCACCGCTCGTATAATAGGACCCCTACTGAGTCGCAGGAGCTCACAGTGCAAGGTCAGGTCAAGGTCAAAGGGCAGAATGTACGAGAATTATTAAAAATACAGCTAAATGAAGACGCTAAAAAACACTTTACCACGTATTAAATTTTTAAATTCTGAGGTCATCAAAATTTGGCCGTTTCTATTGGTTTTGATGTGGCATCATTTGAGCTGGTAGGCTGGTTGGTAGGCAGGTGTGTCCTGGTACCAAGACCACTAACACAAATTCCATTTAACCCTAGGATGGATGGATGAATTATTTGAGCTATATAATAAGATACTGTATTTTTAATTAATATTGTAAAATATACATTATTTAACAATATATTAATAATCATCATGCCCTGTTGAATCCTCCCATCTTTGGGTTTTGTGAGTCAGTGGATTCCTAATTAGATCTCTTAAGAAACATTGCTTTATAACAACATGATTGATGTTATTCACATAATTGTCTGGGACTTGTGTGTGCACACAAAGCACTGTGCAAAACCTTTGAACTACAACTGATTTCTACATATTTTGCTTCCAATCAGCAAAACTTTTTTATACTTTAAACAATCTCAAGCAATAATTTTCCAAACTTCCTGAAGATCCTTGGAAGTTTTTCTTTGGACATTGGCTGTTTTTCAACTTTATGCACTAATGCATAATTTATTCCCATTTCTATTGTTGAATCTTTGAAAAATGCCAAAGATAACACAGTTTGACACTAATAAAATTGTATAGTTGCACCAACAAGATGATTCCCAAAGAGATAATAACTGAAAACGTGCCATCTTTTTGCATGGTATGCAGTATGAGGAAACTGGACAGATAGAGGACAAATGAACAATTAACTGGCCTGAAAACCTATCTACAGCAGATAAATAGTATTTTTAAGTAATATCTTTAAGTAATAGGGGAAAAATATCCAACAAAGATCTGACAGAGGAGCCGAGAGATGCCTTTTGAAGGTGTCAGTGGAAGGGGTCTTAAGAAAGGGAAACAGGAAGAAAAGGCTGAGGTATGCCAGATTACACGAAAACTGCACTGAAAATCAGTGAAAACAGGTCCAGGGCTCTAGACTAACTTTTTGACATGGGCGTACCGGTACGCCTAACTTTAAAAATTTAGGCGCACCGGCACAAAAGTTAGGCGCACTCAAATTTTTCAACCGCATCGCTTAACATGTGCACTTTCTTTGGGGGGGACGGGGGGGAGTCCATACAGACAATATTCATTTCTAAATTATTAACTAACAAAGTTGTGCTTAAAGTGCTTTGTCAATATTGTAGAAAATGTTAAACTTAATCATCATCTCGGCTCCTCTGACGACCTGTTTGCTGTTGCATGCTGCTGAAAGGCAGTGGGGAGAGGGGACACTTGGGCAGTGCATTTATTGTAGCATATAATGTGTTTTCTGGATACATTGTGCTTTTTCAGCATTCAAAGATTGATGGCATTGTGTCAGAGCACTGGCTATGACTGGCTATGACCAATTTGGTCGCATTTGCGACCAAATTGGTCGCACTCTAGAGCCCTGAGGTCTGATGGATGTATGAATCCAGATTTGAAATTTTTAGTTGTAATTGCCACCAATGTGCTTACAGTGATCTCTAAAACACAGTGGAGGCTCTATCTTGATTTGGGGCTGTAATGTTGAAGTGCACATTTCAATAAACCTCTACTTCTACCTTCAGTTTTCTTAGTAAAATATAAAAAAAATAAAGGGTGTCTTGAGAATTTTTGCACAGCAGTGTATAATATAATATATGTATGTTTGATTTTCAGTATTAACTAATGTAAAATATATATATTTAATATATATAAGAAGAGCTAAATTCAGTGGTTTTGGTATATTCACACTATCAAGATTCAAGTTCAACTTTTTGGAAAATACGCTCAGTTGTTGCTAAGAGCTAGCTGTAACTAGCTGTAGCTAAGCTAACTTAGCTTAGCATAGCATAAAGAGGCAATGGAGATGAAAATAGTCATTTTTGTCTAGTCCTCAAACAAGTGTGAAGATGAGATGTACTTTTTATGTAAACCCAACCAGCTGCTGAGTTTAGTTTCTTATTTATTTTAGAGATGAGTGGAAAACGTTTATTAGGAAGGACATGAACGTATTTCTTAAAATTAAGAAATTCCTGTCAGCTTGCAAGTTTTAGTCTTAACAAATGAATTTTAAATATTGACCTTCTTGTTCTTACAATTAGAGCTGAAAACGTGATGCAACTAAACAGGCAATTAGCAACTGAGTGTGTATGCTTGGTAGTATGTGTGTGTCCTCCCAGCTGTCAGCCCGATGCTCTACTGGGAAATGATTTCTTGATTGACTGCCTGGTTTGCTCTGTGTGTCGTGTCTGTCTTATCCTGCTCCTGACCTGTCAATCAATCACACGGTTAGCAAAAAGGCTCCAATTAAACTGAAGGGAGGGCTGTGTTATGGGGGAAATGCTCTCTCTGGCGAACGAGAGAGGGAGGTGTGCTGCCACAGATCCTGAACAAGCCTCCGTTTGGAGAGAAAGCCTATAAAATATACTGCTAACTCACTGATGTGTGATGGAGAAACACAATTTCTCTCTGTGCCTTAATAAAGGCTACGACTGAGAAGCACATCGATCCAGTGACAGACCGAGTGGATTAAAACTTAATCACCTTAGCATGCCTCTACTTTTCGTTTCTTTCCACAGTAGACCAATATAAGAAAAAAAAAAGAAGAGAAAGTGGTATCAGTGTGTCAAGCAAGCGACCTTTGAAAGATCCAAGCCTATTATTTAGAAAGAGTACCAGTGTAGATATAGTAGCGATTGAATTATTTGACATTTTTATTACAGTACGGATATTAGTCTGTACCAACATTTTTCACCATTTCCCAACAAAAAATTTAAAGTCTTCAGGGTTAGACATTACCGTTACTAAACTATTGATATTTTTTGTGCTATTTAAATTAACACCTTTTTCATTTTCCTCCTTTTCTCAGATGCGTTTCTACTTCCACATGTCTGGAGATGGCATTGGGACTCTCAGTGTGTTCAGCAAAAGTGAAGGCCATCTCCATCTCCTCCTGACCCTGACGGGAGATCAGGGCAACTACTGGCAGATGAAGGAGATCCCGCTGAGCAGCTCCAGGGACTTCCAGGTCATGTTCGAGGGCAAGGTAGGCCGAAATCCAAAGGTTGGCATCTGCCTGGATGACATTACCTTCTCTCCAGGATGCCTTCTCGCTTCCTCAGCTACATCGCCCGATAACACTCCTTCACCTCCTCCAGGTACGCAGTTCACTTTATTGGATATATGTTTCATTTCAACCTTGGCTGTTTCTTTCCGTGTTATTGTACACCCTCCTATCATTCACAAAAATATGAAAAACTGTAAGCCACCAAAAACTATATAGTACATATATTGCTTATAGTAAATAAACTAGAGCTTTCTATAAATCACAAACGTTTTACATCATGGTCTTCTCATGTGACGTCACATATTGCTCGAGAGTTGTCTGCCATATTGTACCTGACACAACCACCAGACGTAAGGGGAAAAACATGTATTCCCTGACTGGTTTGTGAGTGGTTTTCTAATAAGAAAAGAAAACAGTAAATGCAGAATGTTCAAAGCATTTCCTTTGGTCACCAGCAGATTGCTGCTTTTCCTCAAAGTTTCAATCGAACACGTGGATTTGCCTGCAGCTACTCTTCAAGCGGTAGAGCAGCGGTGAAAGGTGTGACACAATCGAGATACAGAAATTGTTTGCCTTTAAAGTAAAGGTTACTTTTGATGCTTGTTGACTGCAGCACTGAGGCACGACTTTTACTGAATCCTTGTAACTTTGCTGTTTCCCTGTTTCACCTATCAGGCGCTGCTGACAGGAACCTCATCTGCTCGTGGTTCTTAGTACTCATTAGCAAATATTAAGGCAACAAGCTATACTGCAAATATGGCTAACATGATATGCTTATGACAAGAACTACTGTGCCATATTCATGAATACTGTAGTTTAGACTATTTCATAAGTGAAGGAAAGCATAGCATCAAGCATAAATCTCTTTCAAAGCACATCTTATTGCATGCCATAGCAGCTGACTCCACTTTTCAAATTTGATTCCAGTTGGTTTACTCTCACGATTTACACCAAAGTTCTTCTAGAAAACAAGTGTCAGCACTCTCCAGCCATCTTGGTAACAGCTTCAGGCAGAAGCTGACTACCGAGCAAACGTCATATAAGTTATGTACAGAGAAAGCCCAGAAAACGATTTTATAAGCTTATCTACCCCTTTACTATAACAACAAGTTGATATTTCTGCCAAAACACAGTGAAAACTAAAAATGATGTGCATGTGCCAGTGCAACAACACAACAGGCTGAGTTTTTGGTCTCTATTGGCTCTTTGGGCACAGAGGTTTGACATCCACCATCTTTTCCATCATTTCAAATGCCTCCTGTGAAGAATGCATTAATGCGGGCCTTCAAATTCCAGTGAGACATTCAATATATGTACTCTTACTAGATGAAAGTGGTGAACTCTGAGAGCTTCAGTGCAATATTAACTCAGGGGCCAGATCTCACAGTTGCAAGCACTTAAATTCAACAAGGCGCTCACCTTGCCAAACAAGAGGTATTGCAATAAATGCCTGGCATGTTTGCTCTGCAGTCAAAATTAAAGGACTGCGTGTTTCTGCAAAAGACTGAATGACCAGACGAAGGCCGGAGTGTAGCAGGAAAAAGCTGTTTTTATATTATTGCTTCTAAAAGACCCGGCTATTCTAATAATGACTTTTTAATTCGGCCGTGGCAGGGCGAATTCTGGGACTGTGGTCATTTTCTGTGAAAAGCTGTTTAACTGTTTCCCTCTAGGGCTGCTTTATATGAGGATTTTATTACAAAAGCTTAAAGATCACTGTCATTGAGGCAGAACGGAACAGCACAGCCCCGAGTTCCCAATTAAACTATTTGGTGAATTTTCAGAAAAGATCTCACTAAGATGTCGATAACTACAGTTTTGATTACTTTCACATTGATAGTTTGCTCATATGGGCAATCAGAGAATTAATAATGGCTCCTGGGTTATTATAACACTAGAGTTGATGAGGACTGGATTAAAATGAGCTCAAAAGCTCAACCAATCCAGATTTAGAGCTCTTGAAAATAGAGATGGCCTATCAAACATGCTGGTTTTCTTTGGACTAACATTGTCAAACGCTGCACATTTCTATTTTTAAGCTTTTCGGTATCTTCGGTTTTCCGTTAGATACTCGTCTTAATTTAAATTACCTATATAAAACATTCCTTTCTTGTTTTTTTGAGCAATTCAACAGTAACATCCAGTTTAAGCTGGAGTTTTGCTGATTTAAAAAAATAAGATGTTTTGAACTAAAACGAACAATCTAAGGAGAAATGCTCTGAAACGTTTGCTCATCTCGGGGCTGAAGCTCTGACCAAAGCGAACCCGTCATAGTTTGAATTTTAGACTAGGGAGATGTTCAGCACGTAGAGGTTCCTCTGCATCCCTTGCATTTTTTATGAGTGAACCCTTTAAAAGGCAAGAGAAAACAACAAGAGCTGATTTATCGGCATTGTCACTGTGGCTATAATTGGCCTATTAAACGTACTGCCTTTCCGATGCAGCTGATGTCGAGGGAGAAGAGAAAATCTGATTGCCTGTGCGCAGAAAGGAATAAAAACTGTGAAGCTCCCTGTCATTTTGAGCTGTAGAGGGTTTGTATCCAGCTGCATGGTGATGTACAGGATTGTCCTTACAGCTGTCTCTTTCTCTTACCTCTCTCTTCGTTTCACTGTCTGTTTGCATTCATCTCTTTCGGTGCCTACAGTGTGCTCCAATATTAATCAGACATTATTAGAGAAGTAGTGTGGTGTCAATAAGAGTCGCTGCAGGTTTGCATGCTAATGATGCTTACCTTCAGCTTACTCCACTGCTCTGCTTGGTGATTTTTCTCATACTGTTGAGACTTAGAGGAAACTTTTATATATCCATCTTGAGCATGCAGCTCATTTTATATAGATTCCTCTCATTATGATGGTTTAAAAAAAGTGCATGCGTTTTAGGTTTTATTTAGAATAGAATAGAATTCAACTTTATTGTCATTGCACATGTCACAAGTACAAGGCAACGAAATGCAGTTTGCATCCATCCAGAAGTGCTTTAGCCATGATATAGATATATTACAAAATTTATATTAGCAATAATATAGTTATATAGATATATTACCGAAATGGGTCTGTTATAGGTATGAGGGTACAAAAATGGGTCTATTATGGGTATGTTACAATGTACACGGTATGAAGGTATGTTATGAATATGCTATAACTATAAGTATGTACAGGCTGTAGTGGGTATACAAGCTATGTACAGGCTATGAACAGGATATAAATATAAAGCTATACAAAAATATGCAAGTTAGAAACAGTTGTAGAATTATAAATATCGTATTGTACAGAATGATTGTTTATACAGTAGTGCAGTTAAGATAAGTGAAATATGTGGCTACTTTATTTATTTAGCTTGTCTAAAATTATTTCATTTAAGCTTGAGAAGGTCACTCATCCTTTCAGACTGAATGTCTATGTATGCTGGAATGGGAATCTATTCTGCTTTTCATTATTTTCATAGATATTAATTACACTGGTAGACACTTAGTATACACAGATTTGTTTCTACTTTTTTCTCCTCCTGGTTCATAGCAAGTAGTCTTCCTCTGAGCACAGAAGTCCAACCCACAGGTCAAACCTTCTGTTTGTGAGTGGCAGCCAATCAGAAAAAAGTTGACTTAAAACTAAGGGAAAGGAATAAGACAGTGGTTCTTAACCTGGGTTCGATCGAACCCTAGGGGTTCGGTGAGTCGGTCTCAGGGGTTCGGCAGAGCCTCCGCCATGACATGCATGGCTCATTTTGTGCACCAGTAAAAAACATATCTATGTCTTGAATTTGAACAAAAAAAAAACATATTTTATTTTTCACTAAAGAGGGGTTCAGTGAATGCGCATATGAAACTGGTGGGGTTCGGTACCTCCAACAAGGTTAAGAACCACTGGAATAAGAGATGATGAACAGAGGGATGATTGCGCTGTTGGCTCACAGCGGAAAGGTCCTGGGTTTGAATCCACCATCTGGCTGGAGCCTTTCTCTGTGGCATCTGCATGATCTTCGTGTCTGCTTGGGTTGTCTCTGGGTACTCTGGCTTCCTCCAAAAAACATGCAGTTTGTGGGGTTTGGTTAATTGGTGATTATAAATTGGCTATAGGTGTGAATGCAACTGTGAATGGTCGTCTGACACTCTGTGTTGGTCCTGGACAGGTTGCTACCATTCGCCCTCTGGCAGCTGGTATAGGCTCCAGTTCCTCTTGCAGCATTGAGTCATATAAGTGGAAGAAAATGCATGGAAAGATTTACAGTTTACACTATGCAATATATTTTAAGGGCTTAAACATAGGCCATAAGGAGCTGAAATCCAGTGCATAGGACTACTAGTTTGAGACATATAGCGAAATTAAAAAGGTCAGAAGACGCTTTTTCCCCCCTTTAAACATGACAGGATAATTTTCTGAAAGAAGGAAGAAGCAAATAAAGTAGTGTGAAAACAGGAAAGAAAGGCATTGTAAAGAACACGGTGAAGCGTTTCTTGAAGGTTAAGTCAGGGAGTATCACCGCTGCCCTGACAGTGAGGTGAGTCCAAGTGGCCATTAATGAGACAAGAGGGAGAAGACTTGAAACAGAAACCTTTTCTCTTTGTGTCTCAGCAGCTGCAGGCTGCAGAGGACGTACAGTAATTCTGATGAGAGCAGAGACAGCAGGAACTGTAATTATATACTGCTGTTCCCTCGGGAGCTTTTTCTTCTACAGCTTCAATCTATATAAAACCATCACACGATGGAGCAGAAAGACCGACCGCTTTTACACTCCACTTGCACTTGTTTTATAGCTCTGCCTGAAAAAAATACCCAAAACTGTAGAACAACACACATGAATAATGTTAACGCGGAGTTTTGTTTTTTTTTGTTTGCATCTGTAGATTGCATGTAAATGTGAGCGTGTGTAAAGGAGAGACAGCACAAAATGCAAATCAGATTTGAGTCGATCTTCTTCTTCAAGTCACTATTGTGTTGGACTTGCAATAGAACTGGGGAAAATACAAGTCAAATAAGTTTTCCTTTAAAATCCTTTAGTAAAGCAGTGAAAGCAAAACTTTTTAATCTTTTTTTTGTGGCTCTTTCTGTAAAAGAGAAAAGCTGCAAACTGGAACATTTAGGGTCATCTACTCTTTAATACTTGTGCAGTCAAGTAAGTGGCTGTGTGCAATGTTCGTATTATGGAAATTCATTCATAAAGGTCCACATATTACAGTAAAGTGTTTCTAATTAACAATAAATGTTATAAATATTTTAGATAAAAACAGGACAGTTTTCCAGTGAATTATCTGAAACCTGGATGTCCTTCTATATTCAATAAACCTTCAATAAACTTCCTATCCTGAAATAATTCACTGGGATTTAAACTTTAATGTTGAACCTGAATGACATTGCTGCACAAGGGGGCAGCATGCCGCTCAGGGCGCCTGCCCACATACTGTATGTAAGTAAGGACAGGAGGAGCCTGGTGAGAAGGTCACATTGCCAGCAGCCTTCGAGCTCTTTGAGTTATCCATGTAACAAGATATAAGCAGGAATTAATGAGGACAAATGAATTGGTGTGCATTCACAGGAGCAGAGCGGTAGCTACTCCTGTGGGTTTAGCAGTATGCTGTTAGCTGATCTTTGAAATAAATCCACCTACAGGCTCAGTATGTAGCAGAGCAGCTGGGAGCTGTGGCTTCCTGGCTTCCTATGTGCCTTTGTGGGGCACATTGCTTCTGGTCCTGTGCATCTGAAGAGGAACAAAGGATTAGGAAGGACTTATACCCCTTTCTCTCCTTTAATTACAAGGACCGCCCCTCTTCATCACGCCTCATCTCTCTTTGTAACACTCCCTTAAGCTAAGCACTGACCCCACTGGAATGTTTGGCTCCAAAAGAAGCAGATTCCAGCCTTCTCCAGCCACCCGGTCATACAGTGTTTCATTCTTATAGCCCCATGCCCTTTTGTCTTCCTAAGCCTCTTAAAGAGCCCCCGATGCCACATGCAGACGGTCCCCCTCTCTTGAGTTGACTGCTTACGCTCCGAAGTTAATGCTCAACTCATGTGATGCTGTCTAATCTGGTGAAGCACACAGTAGTTATTTTGCTGAAACTCCTTTAGGCACAACGTTTTTATTGCACTTTGTAATTCATAACAGAAAAGCTGGATGTTTTAGGAAATGCACAAATTGCTTTACTTTATATATTAACCTGCAGCAGCAGCCTGTTAGCTTTGCACATGTAAACTTCTTGAACATACATAATTAACATACAGTGTCTGGAAAACAGTTTTCAGTTTTGCAAACGATATTATTTCTTGGTGAGAAGCAATGACTTCCTGCAGTCTGGTTCTTATACCTGTTTTGTATGGATAAAACAAAAATCATATACAGTTCATATATACAGTATATATGTGATAGCAGTACAGACAAATATAAGAAGAATATGGAGATGAAGCTCGACACTGACCTTTACAGTGCATTGATCCAGAGGTGGTGTTATTTTATGGGACGCTCAATAATAATAATAAATTAAATTTTATTTGTTGGCTCTTTTCAAAACACTCAAGCTGGCCTGACTCCACAAAATTAACAAGATCCACAAAAATCCCAATAGCAAGAAATATTTAAAATCCCGGAATAATATATATATAAAAATTTGGGTTATAGTTTATATGCTGAACAGTTTGGCTTTAACATGTGATTGAAAATGTATAATATGGTCTGGCTGATGGAGGTGAAGTGGTAGTGAGTTCCAAAGATCCAGGACGACTGGCGACCTGTCATATATTTTAGAAAAAACATGCTACTTTACATTTAAGAACATTCGGGTCTGAGATGTATTTCTCTTTTTTTTGTTGTTTTATTGTCAGGGTCCTGTCCTTCGGGCTTCCTGCCTTGTGAAAATGGCAGGTGTTTCACTCCATGGCAGAGCTGTGACTTCACAGATGACTGTGGCGATGGAACGGATGAGAAGCATTGTGGGACTTCGTGCACCTTTGAGAACGGACGCTGTGGGTGGAAGAGCTCCCTTGCTGATAATTTTCACTGGGTGCTGGGCACTGGGTCTGTCCAAAGCATACGGCCTCCGTATGATCACACGCTGACGAATGAGAATGGTATGAGTTTGCATTTTCTGGTACACTATGAACTCTGTACACATTTAAAATTGTAGGATTTTTCTTTTTACCACCGTTTCTCATTAAAAAGAACGATTCTTGAATTACCGTTGCATAATTTAGCAGGTGCATCTGTGCTTGTGAGGGGCTTTGTATAATCAGAATGAATGATTTTTCAAATTTTACCTGCTTGGGCCAAATGGCTCTCCACCATGTTTAATTCACGCTTTTGTAACTTTAGAGACAAAATCAATGAGTTTCTTCTCAGCATGTGAAAGCGCACCAGGTGATTTATTCAAGGCTAAAATTCCACTTTACTCTGTGCATGCCAAAAAAGCAATGCACATAAATTACTTATCATTTAAGCAAATTTTTATTATGCAGCCTCCTGCATGTATCTCCTACTTTGATACTGATCCAAAACAAGCAACCCATCCACCAGCACCTCATGGCAACCCAGCAAACATGGCTAATATTATTCCCCAGTCAAAACTGGACAGATGCTGATGTTTTTCCACATACCATACTGGTCCACTTAGAGCCTCAGATGATTGCAATAAGAAACAAATGCACATGATTTTGTTTTTTAATATGCCATTTCATTGTTATCTAATTTGTTTAGCAATTAGCAATGCAATTATGCCATTTGAGTTTAAATTAGCTGTCATTTGTTGCATAGCCATCACCTCCGTGCTTCCCAATGTTCCCATTATAACCCTGAGGTGAAGCTAACTGATCAGATAAGAAGTGGACAGCAAAGCAGGAGATCTTTTTATTTTGTTCTAATCATTAGTTAGCACACTCGCTTGGGAAGCAAAAGATTCCTTTTTTGAATCCAGAGGTCCAAATCCCCTTGGGGTTACATCATGAAGAGCATCTGGTGAAACACTGCTAAATAAAAAAAAATAAATGCAGAGCTTCTGACAGCATCTTTTTTTATTAAAAGGATA